AAAAATCGCGAATTCAATTGCCCGACAAAGATCGAAAACAACTCTAACATCATCATAATAATTTATAATTTATTGTCATCATAATATCATCATACGCGTCGCACCCTTCATAACATCAACCAAGGAAAGCAGCAGCAGCAGCAACTCACAGAGAGATATAGAGGGGGAGAGACACACACACAGACGCTACGTACTGCTGCCTGGCTGCTCTCCCGCGGCAGTGCTGCCCCCTGGTGCGCCGTAACAGAGTGATTCTCGTCGCGGGAATGTAGTTCATTTATTATTGCAAGCGAAGCACGGCCTCTCACGTCTGCGTGCGTGCGTGTGTGTGTGCGTGCGTGCGTGTGTGTCTGCGTGCGTGTGCGTGTATGTATGCGTGTGTGTGTGTGTATGTATGCGTGTGTGTGTGTGTGTGTGTATGTATGTATGCGTGTGTATGTATACGTTCGTGCGTGCGTGAGTGCATGTGTGTGCGTGTATGTGTATGTATGTGTGCGTAGGTTATCCATATGTTATCTGTTGTCTGCTAGCTTGCGTCTGCCGGGTTATAGACTGACACCGCGTGCGCACGTCCCCCAACGAACCTGCCCGCTCTATAATCTACGCAGTGGTTCCGCACGAGCTTGGCCCCCGTCTACGCAAGCCTCGGCGCCGGACTACGTATGCGTTTTACGCGCCGCGGAATTAAATTATAATATCGGAACTCATAACTTCGTAAACTCTTTTCACAGCACGTCGCGTCGGGCGGAAAATCGGACGCTCGCCAGGGTGCGCCACCGCGGCCGTCGGCGTGAATCGGTTAAAAACTTGCGGACGAAAAATAGAAACATAACGATAACTTAAGAGATAACAGTTACAGTCGATATTCACGCGGGCAATCTGAAAAAGTTCTGCATCGGGACGCCGAAGTCCCGAGAGGGCGCTACCTTCAGCTCGCGAAACCCTCTCCCTAGGTGGCGCCATGCACTAAACGCTGGTGTTACCGCGGCGACGGTCGGACGCGTTTATACATACGTCGCGCAAGCCGTGGCCGCGGCAGCGACGGGGAAAAAACAACCTTGTGTTAGTTAGTATACGGTCGAAAACACCACCACGTCATCTCCCCTTCTACTCGCCCCCTCCCCTCCCCCCCCCGTGTGTGTCCCTTATATTGTCTCTGCCCCCTCCCCCCTCACCTTCTCCACCCCCTTCTTCTTCGTACAGTCTTCTCTCCCTCTGCCTCCGAGGATGCAACGATGGTTCGTTAGCGAGGATGGCGGATGATGGGTCGTTAGCGAGGATGCAACGATGGTTCGTTAGCGAGGATGCGACGATGGATCGTTAGCGAGGATGAGGATGCGATGATTAGTCTTCGTGAGCGCCGCTGGGACCTTCCTCAGCCTCCTCATCCTCGTCCTCGTCATCGTCGTCGTCGTCGTCGTCCTCCACCTTGTATAGAGAAATCATGAGAAATCATGAGAAATCATGTAAAATCACGTGAAATCATGAGAAATCATGTAAAATCATGTGAAATCATGAGAAATCAGGTGAAACGATTTCCGACGATGCTGCGAATATTGTAGCTTAGTGCGTGGAAGTCAGCGTGGTTTAAGTTAATTAGGACTGCTAATTAGGTGATTTTGATGCGGTATAGTTAGAGGCTGTACATGCATATTGCACAATATTGCACCATATTGCACCATTTATGCACAATATTGCACCATATTGCACCATATTGCACCATTTACGCATAATATTGCACCACTTACGTTAGTCTGTGCGTTCTGTCGTTTATTCGTTTATCCAATCACGTAGTGTAATCAGGAACGGACCGAATAAAATAATATATATGATATATTTACCGCTGAATATGCGTTCATCAACAACCTAGGTAGCATAGCAGGAGTGTGCGTGCGTGCGTGCGTGCATGCGTGCGTGCATGCATGCGTGTGTGTATGTGTGTGCATGCGTGCCTATTGTGTGTGTGCATGCGTGCCTATTGTGTGTGTGC